AAAGGCAAAACACTGCATGATAGGAACTGAAAATATTCTTTCCCACAACCATCGGTTCAAAAAGAGTATTTGTAATGGATTTGATAAAGAAAATGCTGTGTTAAATAATAAAGGACAACATCTCAAATAAACCCTACCGACCTGGCACATGGTCTTTCTTTGTCCAATGTTGTCTGATGGCCAGCAGCAGGCAGAGTAACAGCAGCAGTAGTGTGGCCATGGCTCCGCACACATTGTCTTGGGCACCGTCAGTGCTGTTATGGGCCCCTTGCATCAGAATGTCCAGAGCAGCTTCACCGAGATGCACCAGCTTCATTCCACAAGGCTGGAGAAGTTCACCTGCCATAAGAACGGATTGAGAATTACAGCTTCTTCAAGTCTGAAGCAGCAGTATTTAGACACACACTTTTATATGTGAGTGATTCCGTGGGATTGGATCAGGATAAATCAAAAGTCAAAATAAAAACTCAGTGTAACCTTGTGTGCTCCTCGTGTCCTTCAGCATCAGTTTCCAAAACATTGTCATGCCACGCGAACCTTCAGCAGTGCCAAACTCATCCCTGCATCAATTTTTCATTAAGACATCAAAGACTTTAGGAGATATGAGACATCTGCGGCATGACCTTCTATAGCCCCTCCTGCTCAACAAAGTTCATCAGACTTAGGTATACTAGAGGTTATTGACTTAAACCCCTAACCAGTGCAGCTTGTTGAGATGTATTATTACTGTTACTTTTCTTAGCGAACAAACTAACAATTTTCCAAAACAAGTGGATAATAAAACAAACAAATATATCATCGTTAATGTTAAGTTAGACTATTAAGACACTATAGGGCAGTAAAATGAACTACAGACATGGGACAGAATCTTTATCTTAAGAGGTATTTGGAAATATTTACACAGGCTATATAATGCAGCTCAGAGGTGGCATAAATGCATTTACACTGCAATTAAAATAGCATAAATTAAAAGAGCATAGATAATAAATATATTTGAATATAGAAATAGGAAATGTTGGAAAATTAAGCAATACTTTAAATATGAAATTAAAACTGCCAGTAGGTAATGACAAGTCACTGTGAATCCACTGAATCATTCATTCAAATGATTTGTTCAAAATGGCTGATTCTTTCAGAACAAATCAAGTGACTTTATAAATAAAGGTCTCTATAAACAATGAATCACTGACTCACCTAATTCATTCAAAAATGCTGAATCATACAGGAACGCCACTGTGTCAAACGGAGATGCAAAGGTTCTGAATCAGGGTATCTTCCGTCCAATCAATTTTTGTTTTAATA